ACCGGGTTCGAGAAGGAGCGTGTACAACCGTCGGAGGAAGGTCATTCTACGCAGTTACTACCCGAAATGAAAAAAGTTTTGTCTAATGAATTTGTGTGCCCTGAGCTTGAGAATCTTCTCACTATATATCCGCCGTGTGTAAGCTGGTTCAATGGTAAAAAAACTTGTTCGCGAAAATTTGTTCAAAGAGGGCATACGTAAGAATTATGTCCCCTCGCAGGCGATGATACTTTAAGGAAGTGAGGTCAAGCACCGCAAGACGCGTTTCATAGTCAACGGATTTGAGGCCGGCGACCATTTTCATAGCGGCTCACCGGACACGCTCAATGTGGGTGGCGTCTTTCGTGCACCCTGAGTAGACAACTTGGTTGGCGTATTCAAGGAGCGGTCTGACTTAAGTCCCATACGCTACCTGGAAGTGCATGCGAACGATACGGGAGAAGGTGCGCCGAACCATCCGCAAAATTTCGAATGCCTCTTGGGCCGATCTCTCATGGTGCAGTCAGAAATACAAGTACATTTTAGCCTCTGTACTCATGATGTTTTCTGATCCCCTCTCGCCATTCGTGAAAACGACATTCGCTGAGTCTCCTCCAAATGACATACGGACGAACTTCTCGTCATTCAGGGGAAGGTGTCAGTCCAACGACCACTGCTTGGCAGCGTCTACGTACATTTGGAGGTCACTGGCGTTGGAACTCCAGGATTTCAAGTCGTCCGCAAAAAGTAGACATGGACTTGCATGAACATCTGGAAGGTTGTTGGCCTACATCAGAAACAGCAGTGGTCCCAAGACGGGGCCTTGAGGAATTCCAATGGAGACAGGCGCAGGAGAAGAGTGAGTCACGCCTATTCTCACTCGGAATGATCTGTCTGATAGGAACGCCTTGATCCAGCGAAGGACTTTCCCTTGAATCATGTAAGACTCGAGTTTGTGGAGCAGCGGGAGGTGTGAGACCCCGTCAAATGCTTTTGAGTAGTCAACGAATATACCATCCGTTGTTTGGATTAAGCTGTCCATAATCACGAGCACGTTTGTCACGCAGAAACGGTTTGGGAGAAATCCGTGTCGAGCTGGATATACCTAGTTGTTGGAAGTAAGGTGAACTGTGATTCATCATCTTGCACGGCACGCTAGCGTGGCATACAGACGTGTAGCTGTCAGGCGATAGTCGGTTACCAGTTTTGTAGATTGGCGTGACAATCGCTTCCTTTCAAGAAGATGGAAGGTGGCCTTCGTCAAGCGACTGACGAAACACCACGCATAAATGATTTGCCAGTGTAGGCGACGTTTCCTTCAGGACAATTGGGTAGTTCTCCTCGGACGTGTCACGGGGTACCTTGGCCGCACAATGCTCTTAGCCGCAAAATCTTCTTGCAGAATATCTGCAAGTGGGATAAAACTTTTTGTGCAAGAATGTCGTATTTTGCGGCATATGCACAAAAACTACTAACCAGCCTAATCTGCCTCCATTTTTTCACAGTCTGTTTTATTTAATCACCCTTCTAGATTTTCGGCGCGCTTTAGAAGTGGCTTTATATCCGTCTTGAAAATTAGGGACTGTATCCTTCTCATTCTTTACAGCGTTCGAGAAGGCAAAAATGAATACACGAACAACAATTGTGTGGTATTTGTGCGGTCATCCAGTGATCGAAGCACCGACGCCGTTTTGCATGGATGGACCGCAATCGCATTAGGTGGTGTGCATGACAAACGGAGAGTGGAGGAAACCAAAGAAGCTAGTAAGCGTGTTCTCTAATCATAAACAATGGGCGAAGCACCAGCTATCCAGGCGGAGTTTGCCTAAGGAGGCAAGCGAGCAATTTCCAGTCACCTCTTATTATCTTGTACACAACCAAAGTGTTTTGAGGTTTTTTTGCCATCGGTTACCGGCGAACTAATGGCTAACCGAACAGGGGTTGGGCACTTGGATAGTTCGGCTGGAGTATGCAACTACCGCCTGAAGCGGGTCACCTCCGTTGAATAGGTGATGTATAGTTGAATTTTATTGGGGCGGACGATATGCCTTCGAACGTGGCAAAACGTTGAGGGACTGGACGGCTGCTTGAGTTGCGGTCAGATGAAGGTCGCTACAGCTGTAGCTACGGTGATGACCCTAGAAACATGGTACTTCAGGAGAAAATAATGCGATTGTGCGAACACTGAGCAGCTGCAGATTGTCCACCATCAAATGCGATATGCTGTTTGTTCTTAGCATCAACTGACACATGGTACACGTGAAATAAGTTTAAGGATCTCTCCTTAAATTCTCGGCGTTGGGCAGCAAGCACACCATCCCGGCGATTGACATAAATTGTTATTTAAAAGTCATCTGAACTGGGCTCCAGATAGAGCGTGAAAAACCTTTGCAGAAACGTCATTCCACGAGCCAGGTGCCCGGAATGAGGAAAATTCCTCTATGATTATGGAGCGCGGTGTAAGCTTGTGAACCTCTTTACTGTGTCCACACATTCCCCCAAGCTTTTGCTTGAAGGTCAAGCTCTGCCCTCCTGCGTTCCTTCATCCTCAAAAATGCCTCCATCATTTGAATGCGGATTCTAACCACTGCACTTGATGAGGCTGTGTCAGGTAATTAGGGAAGGGCCATAGTGTTATCTTTTCGTGCTTGTATCAAGCAAAATGCCGCAACCCTACTTATGACGAGTCATTTTCTCCATTGGCCCAGGGTTTCCGTTGCATGGTTTTGTATAATTGATACCCATCCTTATATATCATAACTCCTGAACGCCTAGTCGCGGAGTTCCAACTTTCCATTCCCGTCTCATATCCATCGTGGTCCTCAAAAAGTCTTTGCAGTCGCACAGCCTCCACGGGCTCATACAGACAGTAGCGTGGAATACCAAAGCCCATGTTTTTGGCCCCCCTCGGGAATGCGGAACTGGCTTGCAGGACCTAGCTGACGACACTTTGGCTCCTACCCGTTTAGTTGCAATGCTCACAGCTGCCTTCTTAGCATCGCCAGCCGCTCCAACAAATAGGCAGACCACGCAAAATTCACTCCATCTCCTCGAAATGTTGTGTTCGTCTTTGCTGGGCCAAAACCGAGGCTCCAAACCCCAGCTATGCGGGGCCTCTGTATTAAACTAAGCTACTCACACAGGCCGCTATCATCCGTACACAAACGCCAGGGAAGCCCGACATTACTGAAAAGAGCCAGTCACTACCAGGTCGGCACTCATAAATTTTGTCTTAGCTACAGGATGAACGGTCGTCCTCTAAGCCCGCTGCCATTCCGAGACAGCCTGCGGTGGGCATTCTTTATTTTCGGTCCTTTTATAATTTGCGATGGCGGAGTTTCAGGCCATATTAGCCAGGGGACCGGTAATACCACGGATCATTTTCACGTAACTGTGGCCCTCCCAATCTCAGACCCTAACCCCCGACTCCTTCACTTTCAGCTCCACGCACTTGCCCAGATATCTAGCAAAAAGGTGTCCCAAACTGGGCCGCAAACATCATGTCTCAAAAATACTGACACTCAACAACCCCTTGACACGGAAAACGACTTCTCTCCCCAAACCTCAAATCGTTTTCACCCACATAGCCCAATAAAACGCGAGGGAGCAAGCCAAAAGATGCAAGGCCAATGATCCGGCTCTCACAACGACCAGGCGGACCAGGATCTAGACGGTCTTGTTCGAACTCACTTTTACTCCCGGTCGATCAGTTTGTTGCCCCCTGGTCTCCAACTTGTCCCACTAATCCTGCGGCGCACGGCAGTCTATACTCGACTCTCTCCCGTATTCAACCATACACCGTTATCGCACCTCGGAATGCACCCCAATTACTTCTGGTGTGTTTCTACCGCCACCATTTTCCCATCTAAACCATAGACTATCCAGGTTCATCGTTTCCTCAGATCCATTCTAACCCACTCATCCACCAACACACTCCCGAACGTTTACGATTCCCACTTCAGCCAATCATCCCACTTGGTCTCAACCACCTACCCCCTATACCCAGCTCACCGTAGCAGCGCATGCGTCCCCACGTCCTGGTCTTTTTGGCTTTAGGCAATCAGGAACAGCGGTAAACAGAACAGTGATGGAGATATGAACAGAAAAGCGTGCTAACACATGCTGTGAGTTCCCTTAGTTGCATGATTATGTTAATTGCTACTGAAAGGAAGAAGGCCTCCTCTGCGGAGTTGTTTATAACGCGAACACCAACTGAACAACTACAAACTATTGGACGGGGGGCAAAACTCTCATATGCAACTTGTTCACAAAAGTGAATATACATGTTCTCCTTGAACGCGTTTTCCTGAGCTTTCCTGGATATTCCCTGACTGTTACACAACTGCAAGCGAATGATACAAAGCGACCCCACAAATTCCGTAAAAGATCTCAACTTGTTTAAGAAGAGGTTAAGCTGATTTGCGAGAAGACACTACTCACATGCCTCATCAGTAGTATCCACCGTTATATGACTTCCCCCTTTAGAAGTGGTTCGAATGCCACCAGTTTTCATTTACCTCCGTCAAGTTGGCTCCAGCAGTGGGTCTACTCGGCCGCTCTCCGAGCGTATCACGCCACTAATGAAGCTACATCCCATTTACTCTTTTCGGGCACGCGGGCATTCATTCTTCCAACGGCAAGTACTGCCACGCTTGTGGCAGCGGTTCTTTCGAGCGCACCTCCGTGGCTCTACCTTTATAGCTGCAAACTCTCCGACGAGTTGGTCCACTGTGGCCTACGGTTCCTCCACTCTTGAACCATCCATGTTCTACCGCGGCTGCAACGTGGCCAGCTCCTCCACACGCAACCGGCCAGTCGCTCCCGCCAAACGCAACTGGGCACAAAACGCCGACTGCACTCCTCCGATGAACTGGTTCGACAGCAACTGGTGACGCGACACGCCGTCCGGTCGCGGCAAAGCGCAATCCAATGAATGCTGCAGGCCGGCGACGAACACGGTCGGGTCAGGTCCGGGTGCCAGCCAGGCCGTCCTGAACCACCTCATGGCCTCCTGGCGGTCGACCAGCGTGTCGAACTCTGTTGCAAGGGCTTCCGCCGCGGTGGCCCAGACAATTATTCGCGGACCTCCTGGCCGCATCCAAGTCCGCTTTTGCCCTAAGAAGGGTCTTCAGTGCTCCCAACTCACCCCGGTCGGTATTCAATCCAGCAGCCTCCGCAACCTCCTCAAAGCCCGCCTGGAACATTCGAACATCACCATCCTCAAAGAGTTGCGGCCGTGGGACCTTCATCCTTACCCTGATCATGGCACCAAAAATGAAAGGACCGAGTCCTGCGCCGCGGATATATTTATTAGAAAAATGCCAACTGAACGGTAACAAACAGGGGAGCAAAATTCCCATATGCATCTCGTTCACAAAAGTGAATGTCTATCTCCTCCTTAGACGCGTCTTCTTGAACTTTCCTGGATATTCATTGACTATTGCTCAAGTGCAGGCAAATGCTTCAAAGCGACTCCGCAAATTCCCTAATAGATCTCACTTTGTTTAAGATGTGAAACGGGTTTCCGAGAGGACACTACTCACATGCTTCATCAGTAGTATCTACGGTTACGCTACCTTTCAATCTGAAACCTCCGGCTGAATGTTGCCTGACGAGATCCGTAGGGCACGTAAATGATCCTCTAGAATTAACCCCGTGTTGTTCTGTCCCCTTGCCTCTGTGGCGGTGCAAACAACCATTTTCAGGGTTCCTCTTGAGCGACTGGCACACACATCACTGACTTTTATTGTGGTTTGGGCTCGCCGAATACTGACGTGACACACTAGGGATGGGCATCATCTTTTGCCCTTCTGTGTCCGCCACCGAAGGCGATGTTCTCTTTCCAAACGTCATCAGCTCATCCCCTCTCTTGTTTCCCTCACAGAGTGCCCCAGAACTGCAAAATACCAGTCGTTGACCGGTTGAGGCCAACTTCTTCGACACCGCCGCCTTGACAGCGGTCACAACATATGGTGCGATAAACCCACCAACCTAACTCGGTTCCTCCACGGGTAGACCTAATCACCACAAATTGCTTACTAATGGACGGCATCACTGAATGTGCTCACTTTGGCCACATTGATCAGGTCGCATTGTGCTGATACCCAATATTCTTCCTGAAGAGACTGTCCCGCAACCCACTCTCCATTGTTGAAGGTATTTGGAATTGAACCGGCTCATGTCCTCACCGACCTAAACTTGCTCCTCCTCCTCTCCAACCGACAGCGGTATTCTCCCATGAGTGCCACGGTACCCGATACCTTAGCCTGCCACACCTCCGTTGTCAGCAGGTCGGTGACTTGGTAGCACAAAGACACAAGGTCGATTCAACGTTTTCTGGAGTCCTTACTAAGAGATAGTCCCCGTGAAATCTCTTTAACATTTTGCGGAAAACCGGCACAGACAGTCGGTTTCCAAACGGAAGGGCGTGAGGAAAACCCCAGCACCGTTTGGGCTACACAGTTAAAACACAGTGAATACTGTGATTATTGGTTGCCGGAATGACAGTATCAATCCATGTAATAACGGGAGAAACCAAGAGGATTCTAGATTTTTGCAGGCACATAGGTGAGATTATGGTCCGATGCTACGGAGACATGAATGAATCTGGAATAAAACAAATTTTGACATGTTTTGTTGGAATTTGATGATGGCTCGCAACCAGGATCGATGTGAGGCAGCGATTAGGCATCATTCCCCCGAAAAAAATTTATCAGGAAAGAGGCAGTTTAAGTCCTCTAGGTGTGAACATTCTTGGTCCAAACTAGGGAATCGTGAATCCCGCTTGGGAAACGGATAAAATTCTAGGAAGAATTCTGATTGGTTTTCCCTGTACAGGAAACTTAATTTAGCGCCACGGAAAAGTGTATTATACCTTTCTTTAGAGGTACACCTCAAAGTTCGCTGAAGCCATTGTGTGAACAAAGGAAACTTTTATGCGGGGTTTTGGTATTTGACGGAGCCCATTAACCACACAGTGCTCTCAGCCGCAAAACCTTTGCAAACGGGGTGAAACTTTTTACGCCAAAATATTGCATTTTGTCGCTTATTTGCTGGAAACCAAAATCCATCTTAACGTACGTTCATATTTTTGCAGCTCGCCGAAGTTAATTGACCGCTGAAGCAATCATACCTCCGGCGGAAAACGTCCAGTGGAATACTTTTCTAGCATCGATGATACCCTGGGATGACTAGGTCGGGCTGACAAGACTGAACTCGTACTCTTAACTTTCGAAAGCTTGGAATCTCGGCGGACCACCACGGTTTCACAAAAATTCGTTACCCTGGTCATAAGCTCGACAGTCCAAGACCACGAGGCGTTGGCGGTGGACTAATTTTTCGGTTCTAACTGATCGGCTGGACGATGCCAATTCTGTTGCTTCTGGTTCCTCATTTCCATAATTTGCAGTTTTCTTGTCAACTGTCAGGCAGGATGCCTCTTGTTTTGCCTCCCATCCCTTCGTTTTTTCCTGCCACCTTCAAATTCTAACATCTACATTGAATGACTGCACTGACACTTTTCCGCGCAATCCCAAGTACCTACAAACCTGGCAGTCATGCTTTCATTCTGACCGTAACAGCATGGCCGTGCCTGGCGGTATACCACCCGCCAGGTCGGAATAAACATTACTAATATTGCTTTGGGCGTGGAATTCAGCTATTTAAACGGCTGCCATGGCCTGAATCGATGTTTCCGTGCAGACCATGGGAGATTTTATAGAGATTTGGGTTTCTTCGTGCGGTTCTTCTGTACTGTATTTGGACATATTTGGAAAGACTACATAAACAGCTGTTACGTCGCCTCCCCGCCTGAGCACAGAATGGAGCAGCTGTTCGTGGGCTGTGTAGTGAAAGGTTTACTACTGTTGCAGAAGGCTCCTACTAAAACGAGGCCAAGGACTTCATCGTAGCTGATAAGGTTTGTGAATCATCTTATGCTCATCGTCGCGCTCACCGGTATACTGACATCTTGATGGTTCTATTGGAGGAATTACTTTGTATACGGCAATGCGAGCAAACAGTGTAACAAGATGGCCAAAATCAGCGGAATGAGACGGTCTTTTGGGAGCACGTAACAGTGGGATGGTGAAGAGATAAGTCCAGTAACGGGCAAGCCGCAAGAGTGGGTATGACAGTCGTGGTTCTGTCGTCGCAACGTGGCCCCTTGATCCGTGGACAGCCCCGCGCGTGAACATTTCGGGTGAGCTAGTTTCACTTGTCAGTATATTTGGGACCTCTAGGAATTTGTGACAAACAGTGACCAGCATGAATCAACGATATTCCTGGGACCATCGAGGATGCAGCGTGGTTCGTTGCTGCAAAGAGACTGCGGCTTGAAATTACAGGCAGCTAAGGATGCCAACGTTATCTAACTAAGGGGTAAGGTGACGCTGCCCGATTTCAAAAACACAGATGAAATTTTCGGTGGTGATAGTAGAGCATGGCGGCCTGCGAACATTTCAACCTGGCCCAGCCATTTGTGAAAATGAGAAACGTTCGTTAGCAAAATTCTGCGCTACTAATTCGATACCTAGTTACGTAAATGTCCATGAAGATGGGTGTTGATTCAGCCTGCGAGTCAACGGTGACCAGCAGTAACTTTTCTTGTTTTCCGACTACTTATGAGTAACGTGACTCGCATCTGTTTATTACGACACCGTTTCGTTTCTTTGCTCGTTTTCCCCCTGTTTCGTCCCGGCTTAGGGTCTGCTTATGCCTCAGTAACTGATGTCGATACTTAATTTGCCCGTCCGTCATTGCTTGCAAGTTCGTCTGGATTACACCTATTCACGAGCGTCCATTCCGACCGAAAAGCGCGCCGACCGGGTATCGAACCCAGAGTCTGCGGACAGCAGGCGAACGCGTCACCGACTACACCAACCGGACGTCCAGTATAGCTGTTTATTTCGTATTACCTATGTATCGCACCTGGCAGATATCCCTTGCTGAGCTTTGTTTTAAACGGACGAAACCGCGCAATCTGACCTATCACGCGACACGAGCGGCTGCGTCGACGCCGACCGAAAGACAGTCCTTCAAATCCCGAACGTACTGACTCCTGCGCCGTTACGGCCAACTCATACTGTCAGACTGCCCCGATATGTATGTTTGCACATCGTTTGGTACTTACTTCTTGTTGCCCCTACAGAAATCCGTGCTGTGACAGTGACTGCTTCCCGCTCCTACAGATTGCGTCATTGTTGATTGTACGTTTTCTTAATTCATGATGCTTACTAATTCGTTTTTCTGTAGAACCAGTTCCTGTCAGTCTTCAATATATCATCTACTGCCCCACGTCTGTCTGCTCCTATTGACTACTGGCTACGAACTGCGTATAATCTAATAGTCGCAATCGTCCTGTGAGATCCTTAACCGTCCGGATCTTACAATGGGTCAGGAGGCAGACGCGTTAATAAGCGGTTCCCGAAGTTGAGGTTGAAGTGAAAATGACTTCGTAGCTACATCGTATTATGGAGTGGTGGGACTGAAAACATCTAAAGGAGTAGGATCACC